ACAGCCCTTTTTCCCTTTCCATCTCTAGTAGCGAGAGCGAAGATAAAAGGAAACGAGAGGATTGAATTTCATGCTTTTCTGATCACAGTGTGTTTCAGATCCGTGTGTCACTCCACTTCTGTTCCAGAGGTACAATCCCATTTATTGTTTTCCAAAAAGACATTGAATTTTAGCAATAATTTATAAAGCTTTCAAGACAGATGTGACATGAGTTTCTTCAGTTGTGATAGAGTATATGCTTCTGTAGAGCCAAAAGACACTTCCCATAATCCTCAGCTGAGAGTGACCAATCAGAGTAGATGCTTTGGCCAGTTGCACTCCCATGAAGCATTGCGAATGAAAAAAAAAATGTTATATTAGCAAATTATAGGTATATATATATATATTAGGGCTGTCAAACGATTAATCGTGATTATCCAAAATAAAAGTTTGTGTTTACATTATGTGGGTGCACTGTGTGTAATTATTTTATATATATATATATATATATATAAATACACACACATGCTTGTATATATTTAAGAAATATTTTCATGTATATACTGTATATAGATTTACATATAATTTATATTATATATCAATATAAATATTTTATATATAAATAATATTTTTTCTTAAATATACATGCATGTGTGTATATATATATATATATATATATATATATATATATATATATACAATAATTATACACAGTGCACCCACATATATTATGTAAACATAAACTTATTTTGGATGTGACTAATCGCGAAAAATCGTTTGACAGCCCTAATATATATATATATATATATATATATATATATATATGATTACATATTAAATATATTAAGCAGCACAACTGTAAATCCTCATATTACAGTGATTTCTGAAGGATCATGTGACACTGAAGACTGGAATAATGATGCTGAAAATTCAGCTTTGATCACAGGAATAAATTAGATTTTTTACCATATATTTACATAGAAAACTGTTCTTTTTAATTCTAATAATATTTCACAATATTTTGTGTTTTACTGTATTTTTGATGAAATAAATGCGAGCCTGATGAGCAGAAGAGATTCTTTCAAAAACATTAAAAATAGTAATGTTACCAAACATTTGATCAGGTGTGTGTGTGTGTGTGTACAGATGTATATATAGGGTAATATATATAATAATGCACACACACACACACACATATATATAATGCAATGTTAGATGCGGTTAATCACGATTACTAATATCCCTGGAGGAAATGAATGCGGAGAAACCTGCAGAACAAGCGGAAAAAAATATTATTTCATTTTTTTCCTCAGGCAATTTCTGCCGGATGTTTTTACCAGAATCAGCTTTGAGTCTTGTTGAGAACAGTTCACAATTGGCATGATGCAATTCATACCCAAACTCACCTTTTACATTCAGAGATTATCTTGCAGATGAACTCCATGTAACCTTGAGAAACTCAGAAAATATATGTTGCAATATGACCACATCAGTTTATATAGTTTAATATGGATTTCTTGACTTATTTGTGAATCATGATGTGCGTCCCAATCCGTGTTCTTGCAAGTATGCACTATTCAGTGCCGGTTTGCAGAATTATTTCCCAAACAAAAAAGAGCACTTTAAACACCTTAATTATGCACTTAACTGACTGATATTGAACAACAAAATAATCTTATAAAATTCACACCGCACGGATGAGTACATAGTGCATAGTATACGTGTAGTGTGTTGTTTGGGACACAACTATAATGTGCGTGCTACTTTTATGCTTGTTATGCAGATGGCATCTGGGGGCGGGGCCATCTCATTCTATACAGTATTTGATTGGATGCTGTATTGATTCAGGATGAGTCCTTGACATATTTGGTCAATTTTCAGACAGAAAAAAACAGTTTATACACTGTAAAAAAAATATTTTCAAGATTTGTTATCACAACATATTTTCTTTTGTCAAATCAACTTTATAATAATGTATTTAGTTGAGATAACTTATTATTTTGAGTTTCTGATGATCAAAATCAAACTCACTTTTTCCAGTTCAATCAACTTAAATTTTTAAGGCAACACACTTACTTTTTTTAAGTTAAACCAACAATATTTTTTACAGTGTAGTAATCACAACATTTTTTCTTTTGTCAAATCAACTTAAATAATTTATTTAGTTCAGATAACATATAATTTTGAGTTTCTGATGATTAAATCATTCTCCTTCATTGTATTAACTCACTTTTTCCAGTTCAATAACCTTTAAGATTTTAAGGCAACCAGGTTACTTACTTTTTTAAGTTAAAAAAAAAATAATAATATAATAGTTTTGAGAATAAAAACTAGTTTTGAGATGACGGGGATTAAACTTTCATGCTCTCTGTAATATACTGTATAAACATGTCTGCTTTTATTTTTGGGATATTCTGGGATCGTCCTGCAGGCCGACTGTTATTTTAACTCTTCTTATTGATAGCAGCGCTTCATCAACTGAATTATTCAGCGTTCGGAGTTACCTGATGCCCTACAGGTGCTGAGATGGGTCAAACCTGCAGACACGGCCGACTCCAAAGATGAGTAATATTTCAGTCATTTATACATTAGTTTTATTTCATTAGATATGAAATGGCAACATGACAAAAATATGGATCTCAGCACACCATGTTGAAGTTGATATATTTGATGGCAAAATAGTAAACTGCATCAATAGGGCATAATTCATCCAAGAACAACAATATTGTCATCATTTATCGACCTCATGTTGTTCAAATCCTGGTTCTGGTGGTAATTTTTGCTATAAATCAGCTTTTGTTTTCAGCTTCAATATTCTGCTTAACATCTCCTTTGTTTTCCACAGAAATAAAGAAAATAACATAAGGGTGAATACTGTAAATGATGAGTAAACTAGGTCTTTAATAATCACACCCAAAATGTCTGGCCTTCACTGTTTGTCTGTGGGATAATTGTATAATATAATTGTATTTAATATAATTGAAGGGACAATTTTCCTGGTGTTAAAGTCAACATGAAACCCATTTTGCTTCTATTATGAGACGTATTTTCATTGAAAGCAAATGTTAAAATAAATAAAGTATAGCAGAACTTGATTTTATCCATCAGGAACATTTTGTTAAAGTATTAAGACGACAAATATTTGTTTATTTCGGAATAAAGTGCACTGATGAATTGTGCACAATAAAACCTAAGACATAATAATAGGTACGTGTTGATTTTGATTTCTTGTTGACTTTTAAGTGCTCAAAGCAGAAATGTTCTCGATTTGAGATGATCAATATCCTCACAAAGGTTGTGAGAATATGAAAACATGCATAACCAGCAAGCATGAGACGAACAGAAAAAGCAAGAGAGGCTTGTGCTTTTCAACAGATTGAGCTGCAGTCCTGAGTGGCGTCTGTCAAAGTGATGATTGACAGCTGTCACTCATTATTTACGGACAGTGAAAGGGTCATGGGCGGATCCACGCGCTCCGTTTAACGTCTCTGTGGCGGCACCGGTAACGTTACTGTAAACATATTCATAATCTCCCATTAAGCTTTTCAATTAATAGTCCCTTTTTTTTTCAAATAAATATGATCTAAATATAAAGGAATAATCCACCCAAAAACAAAAATGCTCTTATAGTTTACTCACCCTCAAACAGGGTTAATATCAATGACTAAAACACTTGCAATAAAATAAACATGAACTGTAATAAAATAGAGGCAACATTTCTAAATTTCATTTAAAGTACTAAAATAACTCAAATCAAAACTGAGATAAAACTAAATGGAAATGAGAAACCCAACAAAATGATTTAAAATAATTTAAATTGATTACAAACTGTACTTATAAATAAATTAGATTAAATAACATAAAAACTGTAGTAGTGTATTGATAATACTAAAATAACACCGGTTCTAAAGCCATATTTTGTTATTTTTATTGTCGAACAATGAATCGTTGTTTTATGCATGTGAGGATTCCTTATTAATTCTAATTTTTTGTTACATTTTTGCCAGGTTTGTGCTTATTACTAATATAGTAAGACAGTGAGATTAAAAGATTATTACGCTTATTAATGATGCATACTACAGTACATCTGCTCACCTGTCTCTACTGTAGTATGCATCATCAGTCAATTTGATCTTTTAATATCAGTGTTTTAGTACATTAAGGCACTTTAAGTGTTTTTCATGTTAAGCATTGAAACATACTGTATATTCACATATATTTTCTTTTTCTTCATTTCGAGGTCTAAACAGATGGAAAATTGTTTCTGAGACCTGAGCAAAACATTTCTCCAAGCCAGTCTCAACTAAAACTACGAGCACGTCTTCGGAGCGTCATCATCATGAGGGTGAGTAAAAGAATGACTAAATGTGCATTTTTGGGTGAACTGTCGCTTTAAATTCAACTCTTTAAAGGAGTAGTTCACTTTAAAAAAAAAAAACTTTTGCTGATAATTTACTCACCCCCATGTCATCCAAGATGTCCACGTCATTCTTTCTTCAGTCGAAAAGAAATTAAGGTTTTTGATGAAAACATTCCAGGATTTTTCTCCATATAATGGACTTCAATGGGGTCCAAACGGTTCATGGTCCAAATGAGAGTTTCAGTGCAGCTTCAAAGGGCTTTAAACGATACCAGACGATGAATAAGGGTCTTATCTAGCGAAACGATCAGTCATTTAAAAAATAAATAACAAAGATTAAGTTTTATAAGCACAAATGCTCGCCTTGCTCTATTCTGTGATGAGCATTCGTGACTCTCCTGTTCGAACTCGTTCATCAAAATGAACGAATCTTTTTTTGAGTCATGACTCAAAGGGTCCTAGACAAGACCCTTATTCATCGTCTGGTATCGTTTAAAGCCCTTTGAACTGTTTGCACTGAAACTGTCTTGTTGAACCATTTGGACCCCATTGAAGTCCATTATATGGAGAAAAATCCTGGAATGTTTTCATCAAAAACCTTAATTTCGTTTCGACTGAAGAAAGAAAGACGTGGATATCTTGGATGACATGGGGGTGAGTAAATTATCAGCAAAAGTTTTCTTTAAAAGTGAGCTACTCCTTTAAATCTCAGCATATGCAATTAAAAACCCATATTGTTCATGATCAGCATCTATTAAAGTCATTTATAATCCCATCCAACAGTTTCAGTCTGTGCTGAAAGGCGTCGTGTGGCCTCCTCAGACGGTGGTGACTCTCATCACCACTTCTCTAGGTTTGGTGGTGTTCGTGCTGATGGGACTCGGCGAGCTCCGGGGCTCGTGTGGCCGAAGATGGCTCAATAGATAGCGAAGGTTATACGGACAGTGTTGTTCAGGCAAAGCTGGGCCGTCGGTGCCTGTGGGGTCCTGTGTGGTGGTGTGTGTGGTGCCGTCGGGGACCTCGAGCGCTGGCGTCCCAGCAGAAGCCATGAGTGAAGACGGTGACGGAGAGACGTCCACTCTCACCGGCTCCCTCTGGTTTAGCAGCGAACGCTTCACTTCCTCGCTCTTCTTCACCTCCTCGCTGTCTCTCTTTTTGTCGTAATTTAAAACTTTCCACTGCTGATTGACGGCTTGCCAGCGATGGAATATGCGGAAGACGGACGGGCCCTCGTGGACGATTAGAGCTGTGGAGAGATTGATTCGGGTTATGTTTTTCGTGATTCATGACTGAACAACTTATGGCGTGTTCGAGTCCACTTTTGCTAGTTTAAAGGGTTAGTTCACCCAAAAATGAAAATTCTGTCAGTATTTACTCACCCTCATGTTGTTCCAACCCCGTAAGACCTTCGTTCATCTTCGGAACACAAATTAAGATATTTAAAATATTAAGATCGCTCCTGCATACAGTCCATAGGCTTCTTGAGGGAATGGCTCTTGCTGGCATCTAAAAGTCATTAAAGACATCGTTAAAATAGTCCAAGTGACTACAGGGGCTCAATCTTAACTTTATCAAACGACGAGAACACTTTTGTGCGCAAAAAAACAACAAAAATAACGACTTTATTTCAACTATTGGTTTATTTCTCCCTCTGCGCGAGTCAGGTTACTAGTTTAATAGCGTAAGCTTCTGTTATTGTACGTCACACGCATCACACACACATGACCAGCGTCGGCCAATAGTGAGCCTACGTGTGACGTAGCTTTACGCAATCACACTACGTTAACTGACTACAGGCTCATGGAGAAGGAAGTGAATAGTTGAAATAAAGTCGTTATTTTTGTTGTTTTTTTGCGCACAAAAGTGTTCTCGTCGTTTGATAAAGTTAAGATTGAGCCACTGTAGTCACTTGGACTATTTTAACGATGTCTTTAATGGCTTTTCGGGGACAGCAAGAGCCAGTACCTCAAGAAGCCTATGGACTAGTATGCAGGAGCGATCTTAATATCTTAAATATCTTAATTTGTGTTCCGAAGATGAACGAAGGTCTTACGGGGTTGGAACAACATGAGGGTGAGTAAATACTGACAGAATTTTCATTTTTGGGTGAACTAACCCTTTAAAGGGATATTTCACCTCTGGAAAGATGAGCGTGTATTTAAAATGGGTCATTTATGTAGAAGAAATGTGAAATTATTTTTAAAATTTGGAGTTTCTAGACTGAGAAAAGCCAGAAAATGTATTTTTGGCTTATGTGGATGAAAGACAACAACTCCCAGAATGCACTTGCTTCGCTGCCCTAGGAGGCCACGCCTACCAGTAACAGAGCGCAGTAGTTAAACAACAAGTCTAGGCTACTAGTGAGTCTCCGTGATGAGTCTGCCCGAAAATGTGTTTCGAGATCGCCCAAAATGTCCGGGATTCGGCTTTTGCGTTCGCCATTCATCATGTTTACCGTGGCGAGCGGGACGAGTGAGTTTCAGAAAGCAAACAAATCCTCCCTAGCGAAAAAAGAGCTGAACTACACTGCATAAACGACTCATTATGACTGAATATATTATATCGTTTATCCTTCATTTAAACCCTAACTTGACCTTTGACCCCAAGCAGAGCCGTACGTACCGATGCAGATGACGTCCATGAAGCCGTACATCCCGTAACAGATCTGAAAGAGCAGGTCTTGCCGTTGCCATTTGGCCGAAGGGCTGAGAGACGACCACACGAGCCACGAGATGCTGGCGATGAGGAAGAGGGAACCCAAGATGGCCGCCGCTATCTGGACCTTCTCTATGACGGTGAGGGAAATCGCCTGCCACTTCATTAAAAGACAAAGAAGGGTGTTTCAGTTCTACTCAGTATTGAGAGTCAAGATCCAGTTCTTATTCAAAACTAAATTTTTTTTGTAAACATTCTCTGGTTGCAAACTAATGATTCAAATGAATTGATTCTCAGTAAATGACTCAAGAATCAGCCTCACGGTGCTACAGGTCGCCCTACAGGTTGGAAGCGGAAGTGTCCATTACCGCTGACGTAAATACTGTAATTTAGCCTAGCGCATCCTACTGTCGCACACTCACTCTCTGTTTATCAGCATGAACGATGTCCACATACAAGATTTCATGAAAGTATGACGTATTGCGACATCAGAAATGAAGAAAAACTAAATAATGACTATTGACGTAAAGCAAGTCAAATTTGTAGTTTTCTTGTGTCTCATTAGAACTACAGAAACGCGACCCGATCTGGCAATCTTACACAGCGTGGATTTAGCAGATATATGATCCAGAAGTGCCTTTCACCCTGTTACGACTTAATAACGATTTTGGAAACATTATTTTAAGGGTAAAAAATCGTACTTTGTGTTGCTTTAAGGTCCTTACACACTGAGTCTAATGATAAAACCATTCGCATGATAAAACCATTTAGCATTTACAAACTGCCTGCAAAACTTTCGTCACTCTTAAAAAAAATTCAGACCGGGTTTGATTTTCTGCGTTTTTTGTTTTGTTTTTTCAAGCATTTGGAGAGATGTTTTGATCATTCAGAGCCACCGAATCACGAATACGACAAAACGCTCAGTGTGCAAGGACCTTTAGTTTGGTCTGAATTGGTCTGGTGATTCACTAAACCTCAGTGACGATATGTAGTTACAGATACACATTTGAAGTTTTATTATTGTTTATAAATGCAGTTTAGTTAAAAAATATAGTAAGTCCAAATACAGAATTGTTCATGTTTAGTGTAGTACCATTTATTTTGGATATTTTATTTTAATTAAATTAATCAAAAGTGACAGCAAAGACATTTTTAATGTCACTAAATATTTTTTCTCAAATAAATGCTATTCATAAACAAAAATGCATCACAGTTTCAACAAAGAAGTATTAAGCTGATTTCAACATTGATACTAAACATAAGTGTGTCTTGATCATCAAATCCTCATATTAGAATGATTTCTGAAGGATCATGTGACACTGAAGACTGCTGAAAATTCAGCTTTAAATCACAGGAATAAATTACATATTAATATAAATACACATAGAAAACAATACATTTAAACTGCAATAATATTTTACTATTTTTATTGTATTTTTTAACAAATAATTGCAGTATTTAGTGAACAGAGAGACATTAACATTACCAAACATTATTGGAGCGGACCTTGCTCATCATTTTTAGTAGAATAATTAAGAATCAAAACCATTTCTATTGTAATTCAGGTCTAATTTTGTGTCTTCAGTCTTGCAGTGGTTTAGTGAGGTTGTTGTACCTGCAGTGGGTTCTTGGTGCTGATGGCGATCACCTCATACTTGTAGTAACAGAGTTCACAGGTCCACGAGCCTCTCTCACTGATCCACTTGATGAGACACGGCTGATGAGTGCTGCGAACGGACCCGCTGCAGCGACACGGGCTCAGCAGCTCGCCCTGACAAACACACACACACACATGAGCTGTGAGACATGAGACTCTCAGTAAACACACCATTCCTAGAGCATCCAGAGAAGAGAATGAAGGCATGTTAATGGGTTAGTTCACCCAAAAATGAAAATGATGTCATTAATGACTCCCTCATGTCGCCCCAAGCCAGTCAGACCTCCGTTCGTCTTCAGAACACAGTTTAAGATATTTTAGATTTAGCCCGAGAGCTGTCCCTCCATTGAACGTGTGTACGGTATACGGTCCTTGTCCAGAAAGGAAATAAAGACCTCATCAAAGTAGTCCATGTGACATCAGTGGGTTAGTTACAATGTTTTGAAGCATCGAAAATACTGTACATCTTGGTCCAAAAATAATAAAAACTACGACTTTATTCAGCATTGTATTGTCTTCCGGTTCTGTTGTGGATCCGCACTTTAAAGGAGTAGTTCACTTTTGAAAAAACCTTTGCTGATAATTTACTCACCCGCATGTCATCCAAGATGTCCATGTCTTTCTTTCTTCAGTCGAAAAGAAATTAAGGTTTTTGATGAAAACAATCCAGGATTTTTCTCCATATAATGGACTTCAATGGGGTCCAAACGGTTCAAGGTCCAAAAGAGAGTTTCAGTGCAAACTATAAATTCGTTCGTATCGTTCGTTGAATGAACCAAACAAAAAAAGATTCGTTCATTTTGATGAACGAGTTCAAACAGGAGAGTCACAAACGTGCGTCACAGAACAGAGCAAGGCGACCATTTGAGCTTATAAAACTTAAACTCTGTTTTTTTTGTTTTTTAAATGAGCGATCGTTTCGCTTGATAAGACCCTTATTCATCGTCTGGAATCGTTTAAAGCCCTTTGAATAGTTTACAATTTGCACTGAAACTCTCATTTGGATCTTGAACCGTTTGGTTCCCATTGAAGTCCATTATATGGAGAAAAATCCTGGAATGTTTTCATCAAAAACCTTAATTTCTTTTCAACTGAAGAAAGAAAGTCATGGACATCTTGGATGACATGGGGGTGAGTAAATTATCAGCAGAGTTTTTTTTTAAAGTGAACTACTCCTTTGAGAATTAGACATTGTTAAAAATACTTTTTTTGTATAAAGCACTTCAATAAAACTTAACAGTGTTCATCCGGCAATCCAGTTTAGACTGGTTTAATCTGTTTTTTCACTGTGTTTTGGGCGTGAGCCTCTAATGTGCGTCTAGTGTGCTATTTTTTACAATGGGACGGTGTTGTACTGAGTAATGTGTGTGTGGTATTCTGCTCTCCTGCATGTACAGGACAGCGTGTGACGAATGCGGATGGATGTAGTGACTGTCGTGTGTGTGTGTGTGTGTGTGTGTGTGTGAAGCGTAACTGAGGAGCAGCAGACACAGGAACAGGTGTGGCGCAGTGTGACGCTCACCTTCCAGCAAACACTAACGCTAGCGTCACGCTGAGAGACATCGACACTCACACAAACAACGTGCACTCTCGTTTCTCTCTGCAGAAGAGGAGTGTGTAAACGGAGCTCGAGTTAAACGTTTCAGAACCCAAATCAATCAGATCAGATTAACTAATGCAGTCATGCTTAGGATAGAAGAGGACGCTATTGCCCAGAGTTTTCTCATTCAAAGCTCAGGACACAGGACTTGTTAAAGGAGAACTCCGGCGCAAAATGAACCTTTGTCTAATTACAAATTGGTATCTAGTCAACCGTTCTCTGAGATTTGTTTTCATGATAATCGAATGTAAAGAGTTGTATCTCCAAAAACTGTTTAGCGTATACGCTAGGATATGGGGGCATATAATAAGTAAAAAGAAATCGCTAGTTAAAGTCGCAATTGCGAAATATAAAGTCGCAATTCTGAGAAATAAAGTCCCAATTCAGAGAAATAAAGTCACAATTGCAAGAAATAAAGTCGCAATTCTGAGAAATAAAGGTGCAATTGCGAGATATAAATTCGCAATTCTGAGAAATAAAGGTGCAATTGCGAGAAATAAAGTCGCAATTCTGAGAAATAAACTCCCAATTCTGAGAAATAAAGTCGCAATCGCAAATAAAGTCGCAATCGCAAATAAAGTCGCAATTCTGAGAAATAAACTCCCAATTCTGAGAAATAAAGTCGCAATCGCAAATAAAGTCGCAATCGCAAATAAAGTCGCAATTCTGAGAAATAAAGTCGCAATCGCAAATAAAGTCACAATCGCAAATAAAGTCACAATCGCAAATAAAGTCGCAATTCTGAGAAATAAAGTCGCAATCGCAAATAAAGTCACAATCGCAAATAAAGTCGCAATTCTGAGAAATAAAGTCGCAATCGCAATTCTGAGAAATAAAGTCGCAATTCTGAGAAATAAAGTCGCAATTGCGAGAAATAAAGTCGCAATTCTGAGAAATAAACTCCCAATTCTGAGAAATAAAGTCGCAATCGCAAATAAAGTCGCAATCGCAAATAAAGTCGCAATCGCAAATAAAGTCGCAATCGCAAATAAAGTCACAATCGCAAATAAAGTCGCAATTCTGAGAAATAAAGTCGCAATCGCAAATAAAGTCGCAATCGCAAATAAAGTCACAATCGCAAATAAAGTCGCAATTCTGAGAAATAAAGTCGCAATTCTGAGAAATAAAGTCTCAATTGCGAGAAATAAAGTCGCAATTCTGAGAAAGAAAAGACAGAATTGATACTTTTTTTCTCACAATTGCAAGTTTATATCTCGAAATTCTGACATCTTTTCTCAGAATTGTGAGATATAAACTCGCAAATTCCGAGTTATCAGGCTAATTCTAAGGGGGTAAAAATACTTAACTTTTTTTCCCCTCAGAATAGTTTATATCTCATAATTCTGACTTTACAACACGCAATTTCAACTTTATATCAATCAATTCTGACTTTATATCTTGCAATTCTTTTTTTTTTTTTTCTTCAACATTGTATTTATTGATTTTAGAAACATTTACATTAAAACATGCACAGAAAGAAAAATAAAATACAAAAATACAAAATAAAAATTAAATAAATAAAAAAGAAATAATAATAAAAACAACAACGACAACAACTATACTATACAAATGTCAAGACAATGGTACATTAATAACATAATTTGTTATTCCTGGTTACACCGAAAATATCTTGCAATTCTGACTTTAAATAAAGTCAGAATTATGAGATAAAAAGTTGCAATTACCTTTTTTTTATTTTTCATTCTATGGTGTAAACAAGGTTCCATAAATCTGAGGAGAGTTTGAGACATTGTTGATATCTCGAGGAGTGACGTGAGATTTCTGTTTTTCCTCAGGAGGAACATCTGAGAAACTGGAAACTCAATGTAATCTCTAGGAGATGTCTAGTAATGTCTAGTTGAAACAGTTGAGATATTAAAGGGATATTGCTTGTGATTATTCGTTATGGCATCGGGTTTCCTCAATTTGTTTTAAGTTAAATTCATATTATTTGATCTTTGATGAGAAATAATTGATTTTAAATGAACTTTTGATTGCAGACTTTGGTATTTTGTCAAATCTGAGCAGCGCAGACATTGTTGAGTAACATGTGAGATTTCAGTTTCTTTCCCCTAGGAGAAACATCAGACATCACCTAAAATTCCCCATTAATCTCTTTACTCTCTGAAAGTAAAGAGATCACATCCATACTCCTCCCGCTCTCCGTAAAAGCCGCCTCGAGCTCAACTTAACGTGAGTATTACATAAGCACGACCCGGTGCTCCTTCAGCCAACAGCGCCGAGAGGAAACAGAAAGGGAGTGTGTGTTCAGACAGGCCCGTCTGCAGATGGACTTGGTGGGAGCGAGTTGCCGGACAGTATGAGGAGAGCAGGATCAGCCAATGGGAGGAGGACGGCACAGGAGGAGACGAGGAGCGAGTCCAAAACCTGCAGCCTAATCCACCTCCGTGTTCTCAGACGCCATTACAACTGTGACAATCTGCTTTCTCTTACTCCACCGAGAGCTGAAGGCCGTTCGCTTTACTCCTGTTCTAATTCACTCAAATGCTGGGTTGTTTCAACCCAACTTTGGGTCAAATATGGACAAACCCAGCCATTGGGTTGAATTTTATAATTACATTTTTAACCCAAAATTTGGGTTTGTCCATGTCTGACCCCAAATTTGGGTTTGTCAATGTCTGACCCAAAATTGGGTTGAAACAACCCAGCATTTTTTAGGGTGTAAACTTTCCCCCTTGTGTTCTCAGACGCCATTACAACTGTGACAATCTGCTTCACTTACTCTACCGAGAGCTGAAGGCCGTTCGTTTTACCAGTGCCAACCAAACTTACGCTCTAAGAAAATGCTGGGTTGTTTTAACCCAAATTTGGGTCAAATATGAACCAACCCAACTGCTGGATGAAACATTTTAATATAAAAATTAATCCAATGGCTAGGTTTGTCCATATATGACCCAAAGTTGGGTTGAAACAACCCAGCATTTTGTCTTATGCACATTAAAAAAAGTTGGGTTATTTGTTTAACCAAACTGTTGAGCTACACACATTGGATCAATATGTTGGGTTATTAAAAAAAAAATTGGGTCATTTTTTTTTAAATCGTTGGGTAATTTCTAGAAATAACCCGACTGTTGGGTTAAATAGCCTACAGTATTTAAATATTTAACTCCACTGTTGGTTATTTAACCCAACTAGAGTTTAACCCAATGCACTGGGTTAAAATAACCTACAGTTGGGAAGGTGCTATACCACCCCATAGTTGGGTTTTCGTTGGGTTATTTTTAACCCAGCGCATTGGGTTAAACTCTAGTTGGGTTAAATAACCCAACAGTTGAGTTAAATATTTAAATACTGTAGGCTATTTAACACAACTGTTGGGTTTTTCAACACAACTAGAGTTTAACCCAATGCACTGCGTTAAAAATAACCCAACTATGGGGTGGTATAGCACCTTCCCAACTGTAGGTTATTTTAACCCAGTGCATTGGGTTAAACTCTAGTTGTGTTGAAAAACCCAACAGTTGAGTTAAATATTTAAATACTGTAGGCTATT